GTGAAAAACCCTTCGTACCAGTGCCGGAAGCCAGACACTGGTCAAGTTGCTTCAGCGCCGGAAACCAGACGCTGTGAAAAACTAGTACCAGTGCCGGAAGCCAGACACTGGTCAAGTTGCTTCAGCGCCGGAAACCAGACGCTGTGAAAAACCCTTAGTACCAGTCCCGGAGGCCAGGCACTGAGTATTTACTATGACCTGATTGTTGCACTTTAGTAGTTCTAATGTTCAGTTTTTTCCCATTTGAAGGCAGCCACTGTGTGTGTGTGTTTTACTGTTAGTATTGTTCAATACAAATTATTTTGCACATGTATGATTATTCTGCAAATTGCTTGGTAGATGCCATCACAGCTGCAACATATGTTGTGCTGAATGGAAGCATGGTTGGATGAACAAACAAGAACCCTATATCATACGTATGTAAGGATGTTGGGATGGATTGAAACATGGCTCAAAATATGGAAGGCCAGAAGGAAAGATGGGTGGATCTAAAGATGGACTTTCGTTGATAATGAACAGAAATGAACAAAGTTTGAATGAATGAGAATAGACAAATCACTGGCTGGATGGATGGATGGATGGATGGACGGATGTGGCAAAGAGGGAGGAAAAGGATGAGTGGTATGCACTAAAAGACCTAAAGTCAAACGACTCCCGTGAGGTGTTCAAACTGCATTGCAGAAATCCAGTCAGCAGTCTTCTAGGGGCCTGGCATCATCATCATCATCATCATGTTTGACCAGTGCCGGAGGCCAGACGCAGGTCAAGTTGCTTCAGCGCCGGAAACCAGACGCTGTGAAAAACCCTTAGTACCAGTGCCGGAAGCCAGACACTGGTCAAGTTGCTTCAGCGCCGGAAACCAGACGCTGTGAAAAACTAGTACCAGTGCCGGAAGCCAGACCCTGGTCAAGTTGCTTCAGCGCCGGAAAACAGACGCTGTGAAAAACCCTTAGTACCAGTGCCGGAGGCCAGGCACTGAGTATTTACTATGACCTGATTGTTGCACTTTAGTAGTTCTAATGTTCAGTTTTTTCCCATTTGAAGGCAGCCACTGTGTGTGTGTTTTACTGTTTGTATTGTTCAATACAAATTATTTTACACATGTATGATTATTCTGCAAATTGCTTGGTAGATGCCATCACAGCTGCAACATATGTTGTGCTGAATGGAAGCATGGTTGGATGAACAAACAAGAACCCTATATCATACGTATGTAAGGATGTTGGGATGGATTGAAACATGGCTCAAAATATGGAAGGCCAGAAGGAAAGATGGGTGGATCTAAAGATGGACTTTCGTTGATGATGAACAAAAATGAACAAAGTTTGAATGAATGAGAATAGACAAATCACTGGATGGATGGATGGATGGATGGACGGATGTGGCAAAGAGGGAGGAAAAGGATGAGTGGTATGAACTAAAAGACCTAAAGTCAAACGACTCCCGTGAGGTGTTCAAACTGCATTGCAGAAATCCAGTCAGCAGTCTTCTAGGGGCCTGGCATCATCATCATCATCATCATCATCATCATCATGTTTGACCAGTGCCGGAGGCCAGACGCAGGTCAAGTTGCTTCAGCGCCGGAAACCAGACGCTGTGAAAAACCCTTAGTACCAGTGCCGGAAGCCAGACACTGGTCAAGTTGCTTCAGGGCCGGAAACCAGACGCTGTGAAAAACTAGTACCAGTGCCGGAAGCCAGACACTGGCAAAGTTGCTTCAGCGCCGGAAACCAGACGCTGTGAGAAACCCTAAGTACAAGTGCCGGAGGCCAGACACCTGTGCTCCCTGCCCCAATGCTGGAATCCAGACAAAGGGGCGGCATAGTCTAAGCACCAAACGAGGAACAAAAATTGTTATATATTGTTGTGGTGATTTTCAGTACCATAGTCACTTTTCAGTGACTTACCACTTTGCAGTGGCCCCTGGATTGTTTGCAGAACCCAATGAAACAAACTATGTTACTCCATTTCTGTTCCCCTTTTGGCTTAGTGATGCCTCATCGGTGGACTCAGAGCACATGCATGGTAACATGTCAATACTTCATTTCATGCAAACCATGGACCAGGTAAAATATAACAATATCAAACCAAATCAGTGTTTTTTGGCTCCCCCTGCAAGCTCAATGACCTCGACAATAGGTCCAGAACCAAGTCAAAACAGTTGACACCTCAAGGCATCAAAACCTCATGTCACACTAAGCAAAAACAATCTGCAGCGGATATATTGGGCTCCCTTTTCTCTCAGCGCTACTGCTGATCTCTGTTGAAACTCAAAAGGGCTGCGGTACACGAAACAACATGACAACCCTAAGTGAAACCTAAATAGACATCCCTGCATCACAACATGCCTCCCGAGGGCTGCTGACTCAGGTTAGGTGCCCGAGTTCTTGTAGGCTTTCTGTCTACTCGGCTCAAGCCCTTCTTTTCAGAAGTTTAGTTTAGTGCTCAAGGATGTCGAACGTAGCAGAAATGGTACTAATTCATCCGTTCCAGTAACATCCGTATTCTGGCTTGATCCATGGCCTTCGTCAAGAGGTCAGACAACATGTCAATCGTGGGTTTCTTTCCCAATGCGATCCGACCACTGGAGACTGCATCTTGGACCCACAAAAAGACGGTGTCCACATGCTTGACGCGGCCTAACCCATGCCGCGATGCAATGGCTCATCCCGTATTGGAATCCATCCAGCACTGGATTGGTAGCCAAATGCCCTACCTTCAAGGCTGATTGTTCGCCTAGCGCGCCGCAGGCTGCTGACACAAGCAAATAGTACTCAGCTTCACCACTGCTGAGGGCAATCGCAGCTTGGCTCTTGCAACTCGTTTTGGTAGTAGAGCCTCCAAGTCTTACGCAATAGCCACTGGTACTTTTCCTTGTGCGAAGACACCCGACCATGCATCTGTCCACACACTGGCATTTTTTATCTGGCACATCTTCTGTCAGTTGTTCTGGCATTCTATCTGGCATATCTTCTGACATTCTTTCGGGCATTCTATCTGGCATATCTTCTGGCAGGTTTTCTATCTGGCATATCTTGTGACTGTTTTTTCTAGCATTCTATCTGGCATATCTTCCGACACTCTTTCTGGCATATATGTCTGGCGTATCTTCTGATTTTCTCTCTGGCATGCTATCTGTCTATCTGGCAATCTTCTTACATTCTTTCTAGCAGTATATCTGGCATATCTTCTGACAGTTTTTTCTGGCATTCTATCGGGCATATCTTCTGATATATTTTTTTTCTGGCATTCTATCTGGCATATCTTCTGACATTTTTTTTCTGGCATTCTACCTGGCATATTTTCTGACATTCTTTTTGGCGTTCTATCTGGCATATCTTGTGGCATTTTTTCTGGCATTCTATCTGGCATATCTTCTGACACTATTCTAGCTAGCATATCTTCTGACATTCTTTCGGGCATTCTATGTGGCATATCTCCTGGCAGGTCTTTCATTCTGGCATTCTATCTGGCATATCTTTTGGCAGTTTTTCTCTGGCATTCTATCTGGCATATCTTCCGACATTCTTTCTGGCATATCTGTCTGGCGTATCTTCTGACATCTCTCTGGCATGCTATCTGCCATATCTTCTTACATTCTTTCCGCATTCTATCTAGCATCTCTTCTGACAATTTTTCTGGCATTCTAACTGGCACATCTTTTGACATTCTATTTCGCATTCTGTCTTGCATTCTCTCTGGCATGCGTTCGGGGGGTCCAGGCCCACTCCACAGCCTCCTGCTCGGCCCACTCCACTGTTCCAGGCCCACTGCGGACCTTGCAGTTAAGATCCGGCAGTGCACACTGTGATCTGGAGCTCGCAGCTGAAGGAAGAAGGGGACGGAGGAGGAGAGCAAGTAACTCTGATAATCTCTGATAAAATCTAGAGACCCTCACCTCACAGGTGGGGAAAAAGCGAAATAAGCCAGTGGGCGCCTGCAGGATCTGTTCAAGCCATGAGACCTGGATCTGCAAGTCAGTGAAATTTCTGTTCGGCGCCGTGATCAGCTCGGCGCGACAGCACAGTCACAGCGAAGCATGCATGGGGCAGCGGGGGCTGAAATTGGAAGATGTATACATTAACGATGAAACCTGGAAGATGAAATTCAATGTTGTGGTGTTTGATCCTCTTTTGTTTTCTGCAGGTGTCTGAGTGCCTGGGAAGCCATTTCTTAAGGCCAGATTTGTTCTTAAGGACAGAAACGGGCTGACGGAACCTTAAAGAACGCCGGAATCCAAACACAAATTGGCACGACACGCCGGAGGCCACGCCTCAGCAACCTTAGTGAAAACCCAACAGTGGCCCAACAGAAGTGGATTGTGAGGGCCCCAAGGTGATGATGAACAGGTACTACAACATGTGATGATGAACACGCCTCTTACGCTGAGTACATGCACTAAATACCCAAGTGACTTCCGAATCACCTGTGGAAAGGCAATGTCAGCACGCGCAGTCTTGAAGCAAAAGCATTTTTAGAAAGTCAAGCAATGAGTCGCTATTCGGGGGTCCTTCAAACCGGAATTTACCATTTTGGAGTCCTGTTGTTGTGCAACGCTATATGGAACGAGTTGAATCATGTACTGACCAATTTTTGGAGCTTACATGGAAGGGGGGCGGGAAACAAATGAACAGTCCAGATTCTGACACTTTTTGGTTTTAGAGAAAGAATGTGTCCAGATTGACGCCAAGTACATGCACTAAATGCCCCCAATGATTTCCGCAATCCGCCCTAATTTCAATCTGTGGAGTGTGCACCCTGTTGAACTCGCCTATCCATGTGTAATGGCTCCATTGAGGGTGAAGATTCTTAGATCCTCCAATGTCCAAGTACCCAGAAAAAATCGTAGAAGTCCCAAGTCATAGTAGGTATTATATATATATATTAGATTACATTACCTCTTCTTGTTCTACAGGTATATCCCTTAACAGCCTTAACAGTTATGATTTTTTCAGTAACCGGAGTTGGAGTTATCCCATGGCCACTGTGCTTGGCCCAGCCTCATGACTGACATAGTCTGCTTGGAACTCCTGCAAGGTGAAAGTCGAATCTCCAACGCAATGAAAAAAAATGCAGAGGTTTTTGATGTTTTTGTTATTTCCCCAAAATCTGTTTATATCGATTTAACATGATTTATGAGGTAAGCTGGCTCATAGGTTGAAAACGGGTTTATGGTAGACATACCTAGATTGATCTAGAATGTTGGATTGGTGCGGGATAAGTTGTCATTGGTACGTACCCTTCACCAGTTGGTTTGCCCAGTACTTATCCCATATATATATATATATATATAGCATCACATATATATATAAATCATACATCATATCTGGTTGGTGGTTTTAACATGTTTTAACCATCTTGAAAAATATGAAGGTCAATGGGAAGGATTAATCCATATATTATGGAAAATAAAAACTGTTTGAAACCACCAACCAGGTATGAATTAGTAGTTAACCAAATCACCATCCAGTCACCATTAAACCATATTTGCTTGTTGGTTGCATCCCCACTTTTCAAAGGTCAGACCCATCCGACCCATCCGGGGATTGTCCTCTGAGCTGACCTCCAGGATCTCATCCTCCCAATCCTGGAGTGGGGTTGTCCTCCTGGATCGTTTTTAAACAAAAACTAGAGGTTTTTTTTCTGTTTGAATCATAGGGCAAGTGTCTGGTCGAAAAACTCCCAGCAGTAGTCAATGCACTGTGCTGTGGTTTTATTGGGATTTTACAACTATTGATGGGAAAACCCCACGTTCATATTGGGAATCCATTGACGCCCCAATAATGAAGATCCATACTTTAGGGATGTCAATGGATTGGTTTGGGAAAATCTTCACCGGAAAACACACATGGTTTTGACCAGGGGATTCCTGCACATGTTCCCTTCGATTCTGGGAGGTGGAGCATCAACATCTGAGAATGAACTCCAGGGTGTGGGCATCAATTATGAACAAAAATTGCAAAGGTATTGAACACCAATGGAAATAACTATGATGTCCAAGTCTGACGATAGTCGAAGGCAGTTGCTCATGGTGATTAATGACCTCTGATTCAACTTTTTGATGCTTTAATGTGTCCATCATGACTACGGTCTCCATCACCCTCCACTTGCCAGCATGCACTTCGACGTGTGTAGTTTTGGGGTGATAAAGTTATCAACCTGAGTATATGTATGCAACTATTCATACATGAATACAATGATATTAGAAAGAGGAACGGTTTTTAGAATACACACGCGCTTCTAATAGCGAGGAAGCTTGCGGCATATTGCAACCCATAAGTGTTTCTTTTGTTGCCAGCCAATCAGCAAAACAAATCCACATTAGCGGTCATATCATGCAATTCTTTAGTTCAAGCTTGAAAGCCCGATGTTTCACTGTGTGTATGTACTCCTTGGTTGGTATACTTCATGCAAGGGTCTATCCCCACATACCATAGCAGTATATTGGAGACTTCACAACCTTCCTGCTACAATACTTGGAGGATCATCCTTCGAATTTTGACCGATTAATGATTAATCAAGGTTAGTTGGTAAGTCAAATTCACTCACTTTCATTTATATATCACTTTCATTTATATATGACTGGGTAAACCAAACCACCCTACTTCCACTTCAAAATGTTCCACATACAGAGCACACACATAGTCAAAAAACAACTCATTTCTATGTGTATAGGATTTTCCAGCTGGCCGTGTTTGATGACCAGCCGGTAGCCATAAAAAAAAACAACAACATCCCAACGAAGCAGTCCCAAGCACTTGGATGTGCATACCACTTAGTAAGTGGCTTATAATCCTGCAATCCTGTATATAAGTGGGGATATTCCATATAATCATATATACCCTCTTGGTAATTTAACATAACTATTGAAAATGGCCATTTATAGTGAGTTTTCCCATTAAAAATGGTGATTTTCTATAGTTATGTTAGTTTACCAGAGGGTAACTGGGGGTGAAACCCATTTACTAAGTGGGATGCAGTCCCAGGTAGGACCTCGGACCCACGATGCCCGCCTCAGTACTTTCAGGCCCTTCGACCAGCACCACCGGCTGCAGCGCGCGGAAGGTGTGCCACAGGAAACGACCCCCTTGGCTCAAGATCTCCGCACGAAACCTTGGCAACGACGTTGCTTATAGTAACCCCCAAAAGAATAGAAAAGCAAATTATCTATAATATCAGTTTACATCGATTTTTTACTGTTTAGTTGGTTTTCTATCTTTTCATAAAGAAAAGCACATTGTTTATCACCACTTTCGTAGATTTGTGGATTTCTACTGTTACGCTTGGGGGTCAAGTTAGATGGTACTTGGTTGATGGCAATCCGATCTAAGTAACTTGACCATGGCACATATAGAGATGTTAAACAAGGTGTTCATTAGAAATGTGGGACCCCAAGTATGAGATTGATATAGCTGTTTATCATGTTTATCCACCAATGGGATATGTAACAAGAAACATTGGCATAGCTGGCCCACTAAAGGTACATTGGTTTTCTCTGGGTTAACTGTTGGACTTATGGTAGGTTAGTCTCTCTGTCAAATGGGTGAAAATAAATAGACTTAGTGTTCATCGTGTGGGTATTCCAAACATGGACTGAAATGTTGTTTTACTGGAACCCTTCACCACTTCAGACCCGCAAAGTCATTTTCCTCCTATCTTCCGTTAGAACTAAAACATGGTGCCGGGCATCTGAGGGGGCCCACGCTGTTGTCACTTTTCAAACATTTTACAGGGGGGACCACAAAACGCTGAAAAACGAAACTTTAGCATCAGGAGCAATTTCATCATCATCATCATCATCATCATCATCTGCATGTGTGCAAGTGCATGAGAACGTACAGCAGCGTAGCATGACGTACGTGTGCAAGTGCATGAGAACGTACAGCAGCGTAGCATGACGTATGTGTGCAAGTGCATGAGAACGTACAGCAGCGTAGCATGACGTATGCATGCATGCAGTATGTGTGCAAGTGCATGAGAACGTACAGCAGCGTAGCATGACGTATGTGTGCAAGTGCATGAGAACGTACAGCAGCGTAGCATGACGTATGTGTGCAAGTGCATGAGAACGTACAGCAGCGTAGCATGACGTATGTCTGCAAGTGCATGAGAACGTACAGCAGCGTAGCATGACGTATGTCTGCAAGTGCATGAGAACGTACAGCAAATGACGCTAGTATCCCACCCCACCCCACCCCACCCCCGCAACCCCCCTCGTCTATGATGTTGTTTTTAGTGTAATGTCAAAAACTGACAACAGCGGGGGCCCCCTCAGATGCCCGGCACCTAAAACATGACCCTTCAGGAAACTCACATAGCCTATCATAGCTATGGAAAATGAGACAATTCCCCAATAATTACTACTATAAAACATGTTTTGCCATCCTCAGACCCAGTCAGGACTCACTGAACACCATGGCTGGATCTCCAGCAGCTGCCTACTTCCAAAGTGACTCCAATTAATTATGGATTTCTTGTTGAGATGGTTGATGTCGATGTAATATAAGCAAATGTCACCAAAATATATTGAAGATTAGCTGGTAAGATCTTCATCTCACTTCGGCTAATCCCCACGTGGAAAATTCCTGGTTGCAGTCCCCATCATCACACTGTCAGACCATCACAAGACTGCACCCCACGGCAGCTGCCGCAACCATGGAACGAAATCCAAAGACCCGGTTCCAACCGCGGTCCTGAGATAGATGGTTCACTGTTGAGGCGTTCACGTCCCAAACATGTTGCCAGAATAGCCGGTATGCTGGCACGTGAATAAGAAGCCAGGTCATGTGGTTAGTCTCGACCCCTACCCAGTAGTCGAGTCCAATGGTTTGTTTGAAGATCAGGAAACCTTTGTATATTCAGTTTGTTCAAACACGGCTTACCAAGTCCAACATTTGGCCAGAGTTATCGAACGAATGGTTGGTTGCTTACGTGCTTGCTTATGTCCTTGTTTGGTTGAGGTCTTTTTCTGTGCCACAAGTCCACAAGCCATACCCCATATCGCAGTCACAGCAGTCCAAACTCCAATCCAAGAAACAGAAGTGTCTCGGACTAGCACACCCCTCCATCTTGGTGAGGTATCACAATTTCTGGGTTTTCTCCATGCCTTTTGTCGGTCTTAAACATATCATCTATCTTCATGCATAGCAGGTGCAGCAATCTGAACATGTGTCTGATGATCGTCTGATCCCCACACAGCAACGTGGCAAGGTCCTTGGTTTTTCAAAGCCTTCTCCAGCAGCAAGCAGATGGGGTCTCCACAGCTTCCACGCACTTCCATATGTACAGCCACCTCATGGCGCCGAGCCAGGAATGGATGACATACTGAGACTCGGCTGGAGATGTTTGAGGCTGGGTCCTGGCTAGGTACGACATGATCTTTCGCTAAAAATATCATCGAATTCAAATTGAACGATGAATCTGGCAATCAGGTGAACATTGATTCTCCAAGAGTAGATCCCACCTTCGGATTGGACCTTGTGTAAATGCTCTTGACAAAGACCCTCAATTTTACATGGACAGCAGGTTAATCACAATTCGTCATAATGGGTACGGTACATATGGAACCCAAAAGTCTCGGGAGAAAACCAGTGGCAAGATTGGTCTCTAATGTGAAGAGTTTCTGAAACCTATACGCCAGGTGTATACTATGCATTAGTTTTGCTCGCTGGCTGGTTGATGCGTAATTCATTAAACTCAAATGAACCACAAACCAACAATAACGTGTAATTAAGGGAAAATCCAACAGTTGTTCACCATGTGTCCTGTCGAAGAGCCCCCCCCATTTTTGTCCGTTGGAAAGCCATGTGTCGATTGGTTCAATCACCATGTTCCTGGTGAAAAATCCTGATGTTTTCACGGGTAAATTCCCATGTTTGATGGTGTCAAAGCCACTTAAAATGGTGCAGTTGGGATTCTTAACCAAAGGCGTGGTCAGAATGTCAGAAGCCCAGAAGTTCGGATCGAAGCCGCTTATAGCTTTGGCATACTATGGACATATATTCACGCTTAAGTTGGAACTGCACGTCCAGCCGCCCACCTCTACATTGCCGTCATCCGTTTCCAGCACGGAGCGGATGCGGCCGGTCCATCTCACCTGGCGAGAATTGTTCACCACCTCAGAACCTGGATTGTGGAATCAGATGGCCTTAAGCACCATTCTTGGAAAATTATACCAAATGAATTATACCCAATAAATTTCATGACCATTGTGGATTAGCATCAATTTGACCCAGTAAATCACACCAAATCCATGAAATGCCATGAAAAACATATCCGATTTTTAGATTGGTCCAGGTATAATTATACAAAATCATATGCACATGGCCACCCCCTTATCCATCAAATTGCATCAAATCCCATGATGAATTCATGCATGAAATCATGCGGTAGTATTGACATCAAAATGAACCATCAAAGGGTCAAGAATGTTGAACCGTCCCTTCAAATGGAAGTTTCCTAAAATGGTGGTACCCCAAAATAATCCAATTTGTTTTAATAGGAGTTTCTATGAAATAAACTTCAAAAAAACCATCCAGCTATTGGGGGACCTCCATTTTAAGAACCCCCAATCATCTCCCATTTGCGCACCTTGCAGCCCTGGAAGTAGCTCCGAAAGACGGGGGAGCTGGTCATGGACCATCGCGCCAGCTGCTCACGCTGTGCCGCCAGGCCGCAGCACTGTAAAAAGCGATGGTAGGAGATGAGGTCGTCGTCACAGCTGTGGGAACCTCAGACTCCCATGGCCAAGATTAGACCCTGTGGGAACCTGTGATGACATCGCTGTTTAGGTGATGTGAGGTGAACGAATATCCAAATTTATAGGGAAATACCAGAAAGTACCGACTCATTGAGACTTCATGGTTCTTGGATGGGTTGCATTTACCATTGTTTCTTGTTTTAGCTGATTTGGTTTGCTTGTCCCCCAAGTACTGACAAGCAAAACCCATCGGTTTGCTTGTACCCAAACATACAAATTGGAGATTTCACCCAAAACGCTCAGGAGTTCAACCAGCCCAACAATAGTTTCAGAATGGTGATGTCAATCTCTCATGATAGCTCAGCTGAGATAGCCTTCCCGCCTTCCCAAAACCCAACTTTTCGCTGGGTAGTATCTCTATTCAGATTTATGGCTCAAAATCAAACTCCAAATCAATTGCCAAGCATTGTTTATCAAGGATTTTGTGGCACTTCTGCGTTTGTATCCACAGGATTTGCTCATGTTTTGCCGCAGAAACTTGCTGCGAGGTGGCACTGAAAAATAATGAATTAAGGAGCAAAATCCAAAGTATACCTAGTGGCTATGACCAGTAAAAACACTCTGGTAGATCGTGAGACCATCAGCAATAGCTAAAGGATATTGGAAGCCAAATGGATCCAAAGGGGTATCGGCCAATAAGACTTGGCATAATTATTGAGCAGATACCCTCAAAGAAGGTGTTTAGACTCAGACCACCACCAACTGTACAGTCTCACTAGGTGTTTAAAGCCTTAAAATTCCAAAAATAACCTCAATTCATTCCATAAGATCCCATTCCTTTGGTCAAATTATCCACTTTGACCAACGTTGGGTCTCCCATTCTCGGCCCAGCAACACAAGACACGCCCCGAGGCGCCCCTGCGCACCAGCTGCAGGCGAACGAAGAAGGTGCGGCCTGGAAGAACTGATATAACTGGTGAAAATTGTGGGAGAAAAAGGTGGGCTACAACCAAAAACTATCCAAAAAAGTACCCTCTGGTAATTTAACATAGCTATTGAAAATCACCATTAATAGTGGATTTACCCATTAAAAATGGTGATTTTCCATAGTTACGTTAGTTTACCAGAGGGTAAGGTTGACAAGGTTGTGTTTTTTGCGATGAATCCACATGGTCTGGCTGTAAACCAAAATGTTTTTCTGGTAAACCAACATTTTTGAAAGAGGATTACAACCAAGTAATGATCAAACATGAAACTTACATTAGATGGACCCTGAGGGTACTCCTTAAGTCTCCTCCAAAACAGGATTGTCATAAACCTACATCCATGTTCAATCTTAGATACCCTGCATGTGATTGTTGCTTGTGTTAGGTTGGTTTGTATATCAACATATATGGCAAAAGGTTAAGTTGTTGTCTGAAGTAGCCACCCGGTTGGTTTTATCCAATCCATGGTGGCTTCCCGCCTCGAAGTTTCACGATGCTGAAGTGCAAGGTGTCTCCAGGAAAAATGGCCTCTGTATTGAGACCTGGAAACGATACGAAGTGCTGCAAATACAATGCCCTTTACCATATGTAAATAGTGTAAATAGTTAATGAATATATATACAGTAAATAATATAGATATACATGCATATATATATATATATGATATATGGAAATATATATATAACCATTATTCACGGATATACATGGATTAATGGGATTTTAACTGACTTGGCATTGATGTGAGGATGAACCCAAGGGTTTGCAAGGACCTCTTCCTGGATCAACAGTTCCGCCATTCTGCTGTATCTAATTGTTAAGCCCTAGCATCTTTAAGCCACCTTAGACACCCGACACAAGCCACATTTTTTGGCTGCAGGCTAATATGGCCCATTTGGAGTGGCAAAAGATTACAGAGTCCCACAGTGCCCCATCCAACTCCAGGAGAGTCTAAGTATATCCACCATAAGTCCAAACATGACTCCAAACATCAACCAACTTAGCTCTGTTTCAACTCCACAATTCCTTCAAAAAATGCTGGTCACATCAATGCCAAGTCAGTTAATCTAATCTAATCTAATCTAATTATGTATCTATCTATCTATCTATCTATCTACCTATCTATGCATTGATAGTCCCATAATTACCTATCATAACTCTGGCACTTTTAAAAGCACTACCGTTCGACAGCACCGTTCCCCCGTTGCGCTGCCTGCAGGAATCAGCGCCTGGATCCGGCCGGACTTCGAGGCCACGGCGCAGGGCGCTCCCGGCTGCGGGACGTCCACCAGGACGCCCTCCGCGGAGAGCAAGGCGCCGTTGGGCGTGGTGTAGCCTGAAAGTGGCCGCTTGGTGGTGAGGTAGGAGATATATGGAGATATGAGATATACTAATTTATTTAAATTTATCTACTTATTTCAAAGCAAAATCCTCCAACGTATGCCTTGCGCAGCGATATTTTTCAAAAATTACATTCCTTGCAAAAAGTGGCATCATTTTGTACAGTCCCCTTATATAAAGGAGTTGCAGCGCTTCTTATATAAAGTTATGTTAAAAAAGAGACTTCCAGTTTTATTGAGGTAAAGGCATATATGCAAGGAGGACAGCATGATTTCAGAATGGAATCCTTTGAGTATCTGTGTTAAATCATCATGGTATTGAGAAAAGAAAGTGTTGGTGCAAGTATGGGCAAAACTTCCTTCAGGAGGGAAGTGAACCATTTAATTGAAAAGCATGCAATAATACAAAAAACATTACTACGAAGTAGAGCCCTTGGGTGTATGTAGTATTTGTTGAAAGAAACAGATCATGGTTGTATGTATGCCATATGCTAAAGGTATATTACAAGTATAATAAAGTCTTAACACAGGTATATTCAGGGTATACGCATGTTATATGAGACGGTATATTAAAGGTATGTCAAATGGTATTGTCAAGCTGTATTAGATTGCTTTTCGAAGGTATATGGAAGGTATATTGATAATAAAAACATGTTTTCATGGTGAATAACATGTTACATTGAAGGGATATTGAAGAAACAAACGTATATTCATTGTATATTAAATGATACGCCCAAGGTATCTGACATGGTCTATCAACAGTATTTCAAGAGGAATGTGAAAAGATCTCAAAGATATATGGAAGGTATGTTAAAGGTATAGCATATTAAAAATATATTCAAAATATTCTCATGTTTTGGTAAATGGTATATTAAAGGTATATTAGCTGGTAAATTAGCTGGTATATTAAAGGTATATGTATTGAAGGTATCGTCAAGGCATACTAAAGTTATTTTCATGTTCAAGTCAATGGCATATCAAAGGTAGATTCTAGGTATATCAAATGATACACTAAAGGTAAATTGAATTGTGTATTAGAGGTATCGTATAGATGTATTATTAGATGGCATTCGAAAGTTATATCACAGTGATATTACAGGTATCCTAAAGGTATATTAGAGGCAAGAACATGGCCAATAAAATTGTATTTATATAAAGGTATACTAAAGGTATATTCGATTGCATATAAAACATTAATGGTGTATTGCATTGTATTCAAAAGACATATTAAAGGTACCCTGAAGATATTTTCACAGTCAATAGAATGGTATATTAAAGATATATTGAAGCTATAGTAAAGGTATAGTCATTGTATTTTAAATATGTTTGATCAACCCATTATTCTTGCTCTGTTACTTCTACTTCACCAGAAAAAACAGAAAACCATGGTCACACAAGAGAAGTGAGAGGAAGGATGGGCTTCATTGAAGCCTGTATTGCAACCTTCCACACACGATAGTTTTCTGGCAAGAATAGTGTTTCTTATTTGAGGAAATGTGTTGTCTTCAAGGCAGATTGTAACCTGTAAGCAGCATTTTCTTGTAACACCATTTTCTGCAAATCAAATGCTTTGAACACGTGTTTCTTCCCATCTTGCCAATGTTTATTTCTGCATCTCCAAAGTGACATCAACCTTTTTTTGAGCAGAGAGCACCAAAAGGTTCTTGCATAGTGGTCAAAGCTGGGCCATAACACCTTCATTGGGGATCATTGGGGTAGATCATTGGGGGGGAACATATATATATATATATATATGTTTTGTATTATATGTAGAAAATTGTATAGTATATATATATATATATACAATCGAAGTCTAAATATCTACAAGTACCTACTTACCTATCTTTCTATTCATCTGCCTGTCTATCAATGTATCTATGAGGATTTGAAGGGATGGGAATGGACGGGCAACTCGCCTCATAGCCCACGTTCTTTGGTGAGATCCAAACACTTCACTTGGAGGTAACGTATAGATTTTAGAGGATCTTAAGTATTAGTTAATTACTAGACTTTGCGGTTGGAAGATGTTGAAGGATGTCGAAAGAATTATCAACAAAAAAGATATGTTGTGTTTAAATAAATATATGTTGACAAATCCATGCCTATAATATTTTTTTCCAAATGAGAGAGGCCATCAAAATCGCCGATCTCCATGCTTCGCAGCAAACCGTGGATCCCGTTTGACCAAGCCGCGGTTGAAATCAGCGATGGAGTGATAAACACCTCAAGGCGCCCCGCTTCAAACACCAAAAACTGCTTTTAAACCATCCTCCAGTCATCACCATGTTTATTATAGGTGGTATGTTTACCATTCCCAGTCATGGGTGGTTCATGGCATTGTTTTACCCACATTACCAAGGTTTTGAGCCATACAGCCATACCCTCTGGTAAACCAACATAGATACGGAACAGCGCCATGTTTAATAGGTAAATCATCAAACTAAATGGTCCATTTTCCATAGCCACCAGAGGTATGTCCATGGCGTTGGGACCTGAATATAATGTCAGAGAAATGTAAATGAGTTTCCAGAGAATTATGGAGCATCATCTCGGTGTTGAGATTTTACTCCCAAGGTGGGGCCTGAAGAGGTACCAGCAGGGTGCTTCAAGGTACCTTGGGTGCTATCCCCCCATAACCCCTAGGAAAAAACAAAATCAACAGTTTTAAGTCAACTTAGCTATTTAGGGAGCCTCAGCGCGTAGCTATTTTACTGAAGAAAAATCTGGTGAATCTGAAGGGAATCTGAGGCTTCGATTTCCTCCCAGCTTTAGCACTGGCCCAGCACCAGTGCTCAATCGGCTGAGTGGAATTCTTACTCCGCAAATGACAATCTATTGCCTCCACCCATATGGATATCAGTGCAGACCCTGGTACCTCCAGGCACCTCCAATGAACACCAAACTAGCTAGGATTTATGAACGTTCATCCAATCAAATATGTTTTAAGAGGGTTTGATCCCAATCCATAGAATAACATTGTTACAAATCCCAAATGCAAATAGTTGTAAATGGTCCTGAATCCGACGTGTAAATTCTGAAGTCACAAAAATCACCTGATATATATATATATATATATAAACACATATACACATACATATATATATAATTATTCATCATTAATGTCGCAATACGTTCACAATCAAATCACCAGTTTGTGAATTGATCCCCAGTTAAATCAGCATCAGAGATTGTAAATCAACACAATTCAACTATAAATGCCCATGTCTGCTGGTTAAATCCACATTTTTTAAAGTTTCAATCACCATCTGAATTGTGGATTCCTATTTTTGTTGGTCAATTTCCCCTTTTTTGCAGGTTAGATCACCATATCCTGGAATTCCTTTTGTCAATTTCTGCTGATGAAATCCCATTTTTTCTGGTTCAATCACCATCTGAATTGCGGCATGTGCCAAGTGACTTCGAGGTTCATTGGCACAGGCCTCCAGCTCCGGCAAGGAGGTGGTCGCACCCATCCGGGCAACATGGCGGAAGGAGTGGGCGCCCTGCTTGGGATGTCAAACTAAACAAGTAGAGATCTCAATAATTCCAGAATCGTTAGGAAATACCTATAGACTTGTGATACCGCTGGTTTTTTTGATATCAGCAGTGCTGCACAAGGCGGTGGCGGAAGTTTCAAAGATAGGACATTATAGGAGAGGTGAGTTGCTGTGGTGCATGGATGGCAGAAAGAACCCACTGATGGACTGAAAGGTGGTTGGAGTTGTGTTTTTGGAGTGGTTACTCACCCGGCCGGTCACCTCACCCACAACTGCTGGATGTAGTGTGGTGTAGTGCAGCTGTAGTTGTAGTTGTAGTGTAGTGGAGCTGTAGCTGTGGTGTAATGTAATTAGTGTAGTGTAGTTGCAGTTGCATTTGTGGTGGTGCAATGAGTGCAGTCTAGTGTAATGTAATGTCTCGTAGCGTAGTGTAGTCTAGTGTAGTGTAGTCTGAAGTAGCGTAGTTGTTGCTGTAGTTTTAGTTATATAGTGTAGTGTGGTGTGGTGTGGTGTGGTGTGGTGTAGTGTGGTGTAGTGTAGTATAGTGTAATGTAATTAGTGTAGTGTAGTGTAGTGTAGTGCAGTTGTAGCTATAGCTGTAGCTGTAGTTGTAGCTGTACAGTAGGTGTAGTTAGTGTAGTGTAGTATAGCGTAGCGTAGCGTTGTGTAATTGAGTGTAGTGCAGTGTAGCGTAATGTAATACAAGTAGTGTCGTGTCATGTAATGAAGTTGTATTTGTAGTTGTAGTTGTGGTGTGGTGGAGTGTAGTGTAGTGGTGCTTGTAGTTGAAACTGCTACAAAACCCTCACGTTTTGCCCACTTTTGACAACATGCAGAATCCCCTGCGCCTGCCACGCAAAACCACATCTGAACGCCCAAAAGTGCTCCGACCCCGTCTCTCTTTAACACTTTTGACTTCGAAATGTGCTTCGCGCCACAACGGCGTGCACTTTTTCGACATCTCAACTAGTAAAAGTGGTCCGAAGCTGGTGTGTTTTGCACATTTTGACTTCGAAATGTGCTTCGCGCCACAACGGCGTGCAATTATTCATCTCTCATCTGGCCAGCTGGCCCCGCACCCGCCGCTTTAGCGAGCCTACTTTTCGACCCTCCGGAGTCACAAATCAATGGAAAAACCCAGTGAATCGCGACTTTGCCACCTTTTCGCCCACCTGCATCTTCTGTCTTCTGACTCTTTCTCTTCTCTGATCTTCTCTTCTCTGATCTTCTCTCTTCTTCTCTTCTCTTCTCTGAATCTTCCCACCTCTGCTTTTCCATCTGTCCATATTGTCGGAAGTTTGACTTCTAAACTTCCTTCGACTAAGATGTGGTGGTGAGATGCGGCTTTGATTGAATTTGTGTTGTCCTGTTTTGCGCTTCAAGTGCAGCTTTCTTGATGCCATGTCCTTTTTGCAAAAGTGTTTGAACGGTGTCACTCAACAGATTCACGACAACTGAGCCAAGGCGAACCAAACTGAGAGATTGAGATGTGGTTGTCTCCTAGCCTCTCCTGGCCCCAAGCATCTTTCTAGGGACTTTTAGGGAGTTCTCCATGTCAATCATTGGGTCGGTTGAACCATGGTGCTGCAGATTTCGTCCTCGACCATCCCGAATAATTTTTCATTCCGCCAATGCGAAAAACCCTACGAAGATATGATGAATTCATGAGCCACAACCATAGCACATTCAACTATTTTTAAGGGACCATGTTTGACAATTTAACTATGATATTGGATATGTCAACAGTATCATTGAATAATTATACTTCCGATTCATACTTAATGTGAACATACAACCTATCAACACCTGTAAACCCTCCAGTAGTCAGTCACATGGCTTGCTAGCAAATACCACCAGCTATAGTTCGATGATTTTCGCTAGACGACTCCATTTGTAGAAGATTCTCTCAACTAGAAACCTCCATTTATGGGGACATATTTTCCATCATTTTCCCATTCCTATATGTTTGTCCATCATTTTCCCATCATTTTCCTCTGAATTTCCCATCTGTTCCTATGATTTTCCCATGCTTCATCAAACATTTCCTAGCGCACCCAGTCGTACGTGAAGCTGGTCGATCCGGCTCAACCGCGGCTCCTCCGAAAGCTGCAGGATGCGGGCATTCTGCAAGCGGATGGTGGTGTGCAGGGCCTGAACCAAGCGGGCTATTTGGAGATATTTGGAGGGTCATATAAAATCACAATCATATATTATGTCTATTGTAATATGATATGTAATTATATATACACACCTTTATATATATATATATAGAACAATCACAATTATGTTTGTATATGTGTGTTGTCACATATATATATATATCACTGAATATTGTATATATAATATGTACTACTGATGATGTGCGCTCAGATTAAGACATGTGTAGGTGATACATATTACCATGTGTATCATATACCGCATGTATCTGTAGTGCGTGATTCAATGATATGTTTGTTATATACACGAACAATATTTCACAATAAGTGGTTTCCCATGGTTTATGACATCAAAAGAACATGGTGCACAAAGCCCAAACATTCCACTTCTGGGCTGGAAATGCCCCAATGAGCTGGAGGGACGGGGATGCTGCTGCACAGCGAAACCTCCACCATTTTGTAGGTGATTTTCCCATCAGAAACCACTCGCAACATGATCTTCAATTGAAATGTTTGTTAGATGCGCGGTCCATCCCAAGATCTAGAATCATGGCCTAAAAAGCCTCAAATATCACGTGGCTACACACCTTTGGTATCCTTTGGTCCGCATGTAGATGAAAGATGATGAAAGCCTTAAATTAATGAATCTTAAAAATTCTATCCCGGATCATCTGTACAGTATCTCTCCATTACCCTCTGGTAATTTAACATAGCCATGGAAAATCACCATTTATAGTGAGTTTTCCCATGAAAAAATGGTGATTTTCCATAGTTATGTTAAATTACCAGAGGGTATGTCCCGTTGTCTCGTATTCGTTACATCCTACCTTTGCAACAACTTGGCATCCCCTGGCACCTCACTACCTCCCATCGACCTGGAAAGGATCAAGTCAGCATCAAGCGGTGCAATAAATAGATATGGAGAACTCTTGGTAGGCCTGTGGGAAAATGACCTACAGATGATCATAGATTATCTACAGTACATGCATGATCATCCATGGTAAGCTTTTCCTCATCTTGATATGTATATATGTGTACTGAGTATGCTGTCGATGGCAGTGAAAACACACCATTTGGGTGGACCAACCAGCCAAGCTAGATCGAAGATAAACACAACGCACATGTGTTGGGGGAAGTGGTTGACACTTGAGCACTGGTTTCCCCATCCAGGTTCCTCGCATGGTTTCACCGTTCCCAACCCCGGCTCGTTGTGCGGGTACAACAGATACTTCGGGCAGCAACCCACAGAATAGTCAGTGTCCAAAATTATGGTTTGCTTCTTTTTTTCGAGTAGACTAGTGACTTCCACATCATTTCCTAACATT